CTCACGGGGTCTATACAGAGCCCCCCAAAATTAACCCCTCAGAGACCCCCAAAATGAGAGCACCCTCCAAAGACCCCCAGAATGAGCCCACTCCCTCAGAGACCCCCAAAATGAGAGCCTGCCCAGAACCCCCCCAAAGTGAGACCCTCCCAAAAGCCCCTCTAAAGTGAACTCCCCCCCAAATGAGCCCCCCCAGTGAGCCCCCCAGCCCCCTCACCGGTCGCTCTCGGGGGGCTCCTTCCTCTTGCCCCCCCCCCGCGGGGGGTCCCCATCCTGCCCCCCCTCCTCCTGCTGGGGGGGGCGGCCGGAGGCACCTGGGGGGAACTGGGAGCTACTGGGGGGCACTGGGAGACACTGGGGGGCACTGGGAGACACTGGGGGACTGGGAGAGGGACTGGGGGGAACTGCCAGCTACTGGGAGCTACTGGGGGGCACTGGGGGGAACTGGGAGAGACTGGGGGGCACTGGGAGCACTGCGGGGAACTGGGAGCACTGGTGGGGGGGCACTGGGAGGTTACTGGGAGCACTGAGCAGTTACTGGGAGGTCACTGGGGTATTCCAATGTGTTACTGGGAGGCACTGGGACACCCTGCAAGGTTACTGGGATGGTGACAGGGGTTACTGGGAGGGTCACAGGGGTTACTGGTCTATACTGGGGGTTACTGGTCCGTACTGGGACACTCACCCGCGGGCAGGGGCCGCACTCCGTGCAGGGGCACAGGGGTTACTGGGATGGTGACAGGGGTTACTGGGAGGGTCACAGGGGTTACTGGTCCATACTGGGGGTTACTGGTCCGTACTGGGACACTCACCCGCGGGCAGGGGCCGCACTCCGTGCAGGGGCACGGCCACCACCTGCCCCCCCAGCTGCAGCCGCAGCAGCGCCCGCCCGGTCTCGGGATCCAGCGCCTGCACCTGCACCAGTGACACCAGTCACAGACCAGTTAGGGACCCGTTAGAGACCAGTCACGGACCAGTCACACCAGTGACGCCAGTTAGGGACCAGTTAGAAACCAGTCAGACCACTCACACCAGTCAGAGACCAGTTACAGACCAGTCAGACCAGTGACACCAGTTACAGACCAGTCAGACCAGTGACACCAGTTACAGACCAGTTAGGGACCAGTTACACCAGTGAGACCAGTCAGAGCCCAGCCACACCAGTGACACCAGTTAGAGGCCAGTTACACCAGTGAGATCAGAGACCAGTTAGAGACCACTCACACCAGTGACACCAGTCAGAGACCAGTTAGAGACCAGTCAGAGACCAGTGACACCAGTTACAGACCAGTTAGGGACCAGTTACACCAGTGAGACCAGTCAGAGCCCAGCCACACCAGTGACACCAGTTAGAGGCCAGTTACACCAGTGAGATCAGAGACCAGTTAGAGACCACTCACACCAGTGACACCAGTCAGAGACCAGTTAGAGACCAGTCAGAGACCAGTGACACCAGTTACAGACCAGTTAGGGACCAGTTACACCAGTGAGACCAGTCAGAGACCAGCCACACCAGTGACACCAGTTAGAGACCAGTTACACCAGTGAGATCAGAGACCAGTTAGAGACCACTCACACCAGTGACACCAGTCAGAGACCAGTTAGAGACCAGTCAGAGACCAGTGACACCAGTTACAGACCAGTCAGACCAGTTAAAGACCAGTAGAGACCAGTGAGACCAGTTAGAGACCAATTACACCAGTGAGAGACCAGTTAGAGAGCAGTCACACCAGTTAGAGACCAGTCACACCAGTTACACGAGTTAGAGACCAGGTACACGCACACCAGTTAGACACCAGTCAGACCCATTAGCTCCCAGTTACGCCCAGTAACACCCAGAGCTTTTCCTGTCGCCTTCCAGTAAGCCCAGTAAGCCCAGCTACCCTCCCAGTAAGCCCCAGCACACCCCAGTTCTCCCCAGTGCCATACTGGGAGCACTGGGGGGGGTACAGCCCCACTGCCACCCCACAAAGCCATACTGGTCCATACTGGTCTGTACTTGTCCATACTGGTCTGTACTGGTCCATATCGGTCTATACTGGTCCGTACTGGTTTATACTGGTCCGTACTGGTCTGTACTGGTCCATAGTGGTCTACACTGGTCTGTACTGGTTTATACCGGTCTGTACTAGTCTGTACCAGTCCATACTGGTCTGTACCACCCCATACCGATCCGTCCTGGTCCATGCCAGTCTATACTGGTCTGTACTAGTCCATATTAGTCTATACTGGTCCGTACTGGTCTATACCGGTCCATACTGGTCTGTACCACCCCATACCGATCCGTCCTGGTCCATGCCAGTCTATACTGGTCTGTACTGGTCCATAGTGGTCTACACTGGTCTGTACTGGTTTATACCGGTCTGTACTAGTCCATATTAGTCTATACTGGTCCGTACTGGTTTATACTGGTAAGTACTGGTCTGTAGCGGTCCATACTGGTCCATTCTGGTCTGTACTGGTGCACGCTGCTCTCACCTTGCCCTGCAGGCCGCGGTGGGGCCCGGCCTCGATGCTCACGGGGTCTATACTGGTCTGTACTGGTCTATACCGGTCCATACTGGTCCATTCTGGTCTATGCTGGTGCACACAGCTCTCACCTTGCCCGGCAGGCCGCGGTGGGGCCCGGCCTCGATGCTCACGGCGTCTCCCACGGCCGGGCCCTGGGGGGGCTCCCCGGGCCGGGGGGCGCCGGGGGGGGCGGCCTCGGCCCCCAGCCCCAGCCCCCGCGGGCGCGGCCGGTGCTCCAGGGGGGGCACCACCCTGGGGGGGACACGGTCAGGGCACCCCAAAACACACCGGGGGTGACGAGACCCAAAATTCACCCGGGGTTGTCAGGGGACCCCAAAATCCACCCTGGGGGGAGTCCCCAAAACCAGCCCTAGGGGTCAGGGGACCCCAAAACCCACCCAGGGGAGGGAAGGGGTGAGGGGACCCCAAAATCCACCCCGGACAGGTGTCCCCTCACCAGTCGCCCCGGCTCAGGGGTGCCCATTTTGGGGTGCCCGTTTTGGGGTGCCCGTTTGGGGGTGCCCATTTTGGGTGCCCATTTGGGGTGCCCATTTAGGGGTGCCCATTTTGGGTGCCCATTTAGGGGTGCCCGTTTGGGGGTGCCCATTTGGGGATACCCGTTTTGGGTTGCCCATTTGGGGGTGCCCATTTTGGGTGCCCATTTTGGGGTGCCCGTTTGGGGGTGCCCGTTTGGGGTGCCCGTTTGGGGGTGCCCATTTTGGGTGCCCGTTTGGGGTGCACGTTTGGGGGTGCCCGTTTGGGGGTGCCCCTTTGGGATGCCCATTTTGGGGTGCCCGTTTGGGGGTGCCCGTTTGGGGGTGCCCCTTTGGGATGCCCATTTTGGGGTGCCCGTTTGGGGGTGCCCGTTTGGGGGTGCCCCTTTGGGATGCCCATTTTGGGGTGCCCGTTTGGGGGTGCCCGTTTGGGGGGGCCCCTTTGGGGTGCCCGTTGGGGGGTCCCGGCTCACCTGGGGAAGGTGCGGCCGATGCCCTGGCCCTGGCTCCAGCCCATCCCCCGCAGCATGGCCAGCCCGAACTGCCCCACGGGCACGGCCTCGTAGTCCTGGGGGGTCTGCGGCACACGGGGGGTGGGCGGGGCTGGGGGGGCCCGGGGGAGGTTTGGGGATCCCCTGGGCAGTTTGGGGTCTGAGGTAGCTCCGGGTGAGGAGGGCACCATGGGGGTGCCAGGGCTCTGGGGGGCACTCTGGGGGTCTGGGGGGAGGTCCCTCCAGGGATCTCTGGGGAGTGTTTGGGGGTCCCAAGGTTATGGGGGTGCCTTGGGGGTCCCAGAGGATGTCTGGGGGTCCCTGGGTGTCCCGGGGGATGTGTGGGGTCCCTGGGGGTCCTGGGGGATGTGTGTGGGTCCCTGGGTGTCCCGGGGGATGTGTGGGGTCCCTGGGGGTCCTGGGGGATGTGTGGGGTCCCTGGGGGTCCTGGGGGATGTGTGGGGTCCCTGGGGGTCC